ATAAACCATATTGTTACACCTATAAGGAATTGGTATTCTTTATCTTGGGGAATTCTTCAGCATCGCTGATCACCTACAGGCAGAAGTCCAAACTCCTTAGTATGTTATGAAGGCTTTGACTCACCAGCCAAAACTCCATCTGGCACACCCACTGTCTGCTAATCATACCTAACTGCTTTCAGCTCCTCCAAGGTGACAACTGCTATTGCTTAGCTCTCCTCCACTATCACCCTACAGGATGGCTAGCTCAATTTTGCCTCCTCTAGGAAGCCCTCTCTTCTCTCCACTCAAAATTACTCCACCCACAACTCTACTAGCACATGGACCTTTTTTTTTTTTTTTTACAGCTCTGTCTTAGTCTCCTCTACTATACCATAGGCTCCATAAAGAATGGATATTACCTTATTCATCTTTTTATCCTTTAGCACACAATTAGCACTCAACAGCATGTTTGCTGAACTAAATTGAAAAGAGAAGTATGTAAAGATTTGCATGGGCTTAACCTCATCAGGTCCCCCAACTATTATGACCACCAGTCATAGGTTCTTGCATGGTCTGTGGAGATTCAGTGGCTGTGATGGAAAGTCATGGGCTACAACAACCCTACAGCTGAATTCCAGTTCTGCAGCTTACAAAAAGTGATCTTGGTCAAGTTACTTACCCTATCTTAACCCAGTTCCTTTATATAAAATGGGAGATATCCAACTCTCCTTGGTATAAAGTTATAAACAGTGCACAAAGAGTAGTGCCAAGTATTGACCCTGGCACAGGTAATAGGAGGTAATTTAGCTTCAGCGGGTGATCATTTGCAGCCAGAACATATTAAACTAGAAAACGAGTGTCTCCCTCTTCTTTCCCAAAGAGAGAAGACCCACCTGAGTTTATTTTGCTTTTTGTCCCTCACTCTCCCCCTGGGCTCAGATGCAAAAACCTCTACACTGTAACCTGGCTTTCCTCTTTCTCATCATTCCCAGCAGAAGTGTCATCGCAAGGAACAGAGCAGGAAAGGCAAGGACTTATAACTCAGGACAGACTGTAGTCAAATAAGGGAGAACAGAGACTGCCACTCTGATTCAACTATGGAACAGACTCAAAAGGAATTCTTGGTAAAATGTCAAGTAGGGAGAACTCCAGCCTGGGGAAGGATTACGTGACTTCACGCTGGGACAATGAAGCTTCAAGGTAACTACACCTGGAACAAAACACTCCTTCAATCAGAAGCAGTCAGTTACTAGTGCTCCAACACCAAACAGTGGAAAAGGGCCGACGAAATGAGAGTCATGAGCTTCACCATCAGAAGCAAGAGGAGGAAAGGAATGCTCTCTCGAAGCTTGCTTCTACCCAGGAAACAAAGCCCAGGCAGCTAGGCTTCATCAACAGAAACAAATGGGATCACAATGTTTCAATTTAATAGGGCAGCGCTCTTCAAACGTTACCACAAAATACAGCATGTGCTAGTAGTTGTTTTATTATAGAGAGGCAGGATAGCATAGAGGTGAAAAATGCATGGGCTCAGGAACCACAGCCTGAAATGAATTACCTAAACTTTCTGTGCCTCAGTTGTCACCTCTGGAAAATGAGATTAACAAATAGATAATGAATGGGACCTATATGCCATAGGGTTGCTAAAGTAGAGTAATGCTGGTCACATGATTAATGCTACATGAGTGTTTGACAAATAAAAATAAATATTAAGATTCAGTACTCACTCAAAAGCAGATTATATGCCATCTTGTGCTTCAAAACTGCTACTGGTATTGCCATCATAAATCTCAAAGATGTCTTTATCCTGTTGACTCCTAGGAACTTGACTTGTTGATCAACGAATCCTTTTGTTGATCGTGAGGACCGAACAGGTCTAAAACCCGAAGGTCACTTTGACATGGTGAAATGGAAACTGAAGGTTTTCTACACAGTTAATCAAACCGTCACCATGTCCAGAATAAAGGAAAGTAAACTAAACAATATTTATTGAGCATCCATTGTGGCCAGTCACTTTCCAAGCTGTTGTATTTGATCGGAAGGCACAAAATGTGCTAGGATTGTAGTTAGCTTTGCCTCCTGCCACACGGCTGAATAAAGTGGGACGAGCTTAGTGAATTCACTATGGCTCTCTCTGGTCCTCAGTTCTGAAGGCTCAAAAAACTTGCTTTTGTCACCCCATCCATTTACTCAACAGTTATTTAATGAGCACCTACTTTGCGTCAGATATTATGATAGGTAATGTGGAGAAAATGCACAGCACATCATTACAATTCCTGCCTGCCGTCACAAAGCAGACAATCTGGCAGAGAAGACAGACATTAAAAACTAAACATGCAGGGCTGGCCCTGTGGTGGAGTGGTTAAGTTCGCGTGCCCCGTTGCAGGTGGCCCAGTGTTTCACTGGTTCGAATCCTGGGTGCAGACATGGCACTGCTCATCAAACCACGCTGAGGCAGCATCCCACATGCCACAACTAGAAGGACCCACAACGAAGAATATACAATTATGTACTGGGGCGCTTTGGGGAGAAAAAGGAAAAAATAAAATCTTTAAAACAAAAAAAGATTGTCAGGAAATGTGAAAAGCGTATAAAAAAAAAAAACTAAACATGCAACCAAAAACCTCAGTTGTCAATAAACTAACTTACAAAGAGAAGAGTTTCAAGTAGACTAGAATTTTTGTTCCTCCAAGACCCACCCATCTCTTCCACACACTCATGACCACACAGAATTCAAGCAGTGGAGTACATTGCATGAATGGTATTAGGCATCACCTTGACAAACATCTGACTGTTTAGCATTGTAAATTCCCTATTCTAAACTTTCCAACCACCCACCACCTCACCCTGCCGTTTCTCCCATTTTTGCTACTTTTCTCAAAAAGGCTGCAGTCCATTATTCAATTTCTCCTTCCTATATTACAATCACTTACACCTCTTGCCTCACCAAATTTCTTCACCTATCACCCTGATTACAGTTTTCCATGTTCTAAAATTTTTTCCATCACACATCTCTGGATATAACTCTATTTATTCCAGAGGTAGTTACAAGGATTCAATCTTGTGGAGTCTACTAGTTTAAGCCTCAGAGGGTAACATTATTTCTGTTATTTTCAAGTTTGGGGTTGGCGTGGTGGGGCAGAGGGCATTTAGGGCAGATGTACACTGAAATCGTTGCCCCATAAACCCTCAAAATATTTCTCATTTAACCTGCAAAACAACGCAACGAGGCACAACAGTTAATTTTCTATGAATCATGAAGCATCCTGCACATCGGATTATGCTGGGCATTACACAAAGGTCAAAATTAAAACAAGAACTCAGCCGGTTCATAGTCCAAGTTCAATAGTCATTTTCTGCTGGCGGTTCTATGAATCATAAGCAGCACTCTGGTAATAGAAAAAGCACACTCATGTGAAACATCTCAACCAACATTCAGATCATCAGCAAAGAAACCAATATTTGAGTCAAAACAGAAGTAAACTTTCTCATATTATTTAATTTCATTCAAAAATAGCACCCACGGCATACTCAGATGTGTTTCATCTATATCACGGAAAATACATCCTTGTGGCACAGGTATGCTTAAGGTTTTTATTGATAATTAAACATATAGGGGGACTATTTTTGTACTTCCACTGAACTTCATTGGATGGAATAAGACACTCTCACATCTGAGGTGATGGGGGCCAAGTGGGGATATAAGTTAAGAGTGCCAGTTAGTTACAGGCAGGGCTTCAGTTGTATCAGCAATTATAAGGCCTGTCCTTATTCTTACAGGTGTACAAGAGGGTCAAAATCAGGATACCCAGAAATGGCGTCCATGAAGCATTTGCTCTAAGCAAACCAGATGGCACCGTCACATCAACTACAATGTTAATTTATTTAGTGATATTTAGGGCTCTCTTTCCACTGACTAAAATTAATGTAACTCCTAGTTTCAGAGGTGCCACACAATCCCAGGTTGTATTCACTCAACTCTGATTTACAAATTGGAGCAAAGAGAATTAGAGGAACTTTCCACTGAATTTCCATGGGGAAAGATGAAATGCTAAAAGAATTTTAAAAGGATTTTTTAAATGCGATCAAATGTTAACCTGAATAGAGTTGGTGGAGAAAATGTAATTCAATAGGGTAATTATTTAAACAAATTCTCACTGGGTAAACTTTTTAAAAAGGCACTCTAAGCTCCAAAAGAAATGTTCTGTGTCTCTCCTTTTCGTGGATACATCTCCAGGGGTCAGCACAGGGCCTGGAATTTATTAGCTGCTCTTTAACTATTTTCTGGGTACATAAATGAATAAATAAATATTTTCCTCCTGATCATTACCATAAACTTTTCATCCAGGAAAAATAATGGTTATTTAAAGGCAAAAGTTATTTGAGTGCACATAAAAGAATAAAATCTTGCTCTTCACCTTGAATTATGAATTAACTTCCACTACTACAAACAGAAAATTAATGAAAAAAAAAGTTTTCATAAGGATGACAGTCACAGAATGCTATTAATTCCAATTCATTTTGTGCGGGAAATATAAATCCTTGAAATATTTACCTACATCTAAGTAGTAATAATTACAAAATATGAGAGAGATCTAGAAAGAGGTTCATAAAAATAACTTCATATGAAAGCATATTCATACTACATAAAAGCAAATTCCAAATGAAAATCTGTAAGAGAGAGACCACAAGGCAAAAGTTCCACAATTTTGGCTATAAGGAAACCTTTCAAAAGCTGGTATTTTGCATACTTGATAGCCAAACTCATCAATGACACCTTTCACGTTATCATTTATACCGCATCACCGAGACACGTATTTCCATAAAGCCAATTCTGTAATTGTACAAAGACTGTTATACTAACTTCGTCACAGACATTTGATACAAAGCTGCCTCATCCCCTTATACTTCCAACATATATACCTGGCAAATATTCACATTGTCGTTTACCACTATCATAAACTACCGTAGTATATATTAAGACAATGAGAATAAGTTACAGTCAAGACAAAACTTACCAAGCACAATGACCACAGTCTTCAGAAGACTCATCATGGTATCCCGATTCCGCCGGGGTCCAGAACTATGCCGAGACATTCTCATAGTCCTCTGGCGAACATAGCCAAAGATATGAGCATAGAGAACCACCATTACGACAAAGGTCACCAAGTTGAAAATGGCCCAGAAAACTAAGTAAGAGTCACTGTAGAGAGGTGCCATGTTGGAACAATTTTCAATATCACAGATGCAGTTCCAGCCCACACTGGGTATGGCACCCATAACAATGGCCATAGTCCAAATGACCACAATCACCACCACTACCCGCCGGTTGCTCATCCGTGTGTGCAGCTGCATGCGGAAAACCGTGATGTGCCTCTCGATTGCAATAGCCAGTAAGTTGGCCACAGATGCCGTCAGGCTAGTGTCAATGAGGCCCTGACGGAGGAGCCACGTGCTGACTGTCAGTCTCCGAGTATTAGGTCCTGTGTTGAACATTAGGTAGAAGTAGGCCAACCCAGCAAAGAAGTCCGCAGCAGCCAGATTAGCCATTAAGTAATAAATAGGAAAATGGAAACGGCGGTTGACATAGATTGCCACCATGACCAGTAGGTTGGCCAACATGATGAAGATACAGACGGTGATTCCAAGTCCCATCACCAGCTTGCTGACTGTGTTCCACTCTGTGGCAAGATACTTTCCACTCCGGTTATAAAAGAAGGCGATGGACTCATTGTAGAAGCACTGTGGTTCATTCATGGCTGTGAACTAAAGGAGGAAAGACGAGGAAAAAAAAAAATAAGAAACCACTGATCCAAATTTAAAGACGCTGTATAGACAACACAAGACTTCTATGGTGGCAAAAATGTGGCAAAAAAAAAGCAAAGAATTTGAAAATCTGATCCTGCGTAAGGTTCTATGATTATGGTGAAACCCCAAGGTTTCTCACTGTATTACTGTCCTCAAGATTAAAGACAGTTGGAGTTAAATAAATGACAAGGTTTGTGCTTGGTGGTTGCATGTCATTGAAGTCTACTAGAAAAGCCACATGGCCCAGAAATCTTGCTTAAAATACATGAGACAGATGGGAATTGTGCAGAGCATTGCGACTGGAATATTTACTATAATGAAATCTATTTTGACCTGTTATTTAGGGAATCTGTAAACATAGTTGGTTTATAGATAGGGTACTATTGCCCCATTATTCTGCATTTCTGTTCTCAGATAGTATGTTCAGTCTGTGACATTTTGTAAAGCAAGTCCCCACAAGGACCATCAGTCTTGACATTTCAAAGAGGTCACTATGCATCAAAGCTTTTCTGCTCAAAGCCAGCATTTGCTGTTCGACATTCCTGTGGTCAGCACTGTCTACCCCCACGACTCTTTATCCCCAGAATAGCGTTCGTCAACCAACCTATGACGTTGGAGAACTTTTTTCCTTTTGGAGGACATAAGAAATATGTTACCTAATGTAACCTCCAAAGAGAAGTTGACACTTTGACACTGATCTACAAAAAGTGAAGTATACTTAGATTAGATAAAGCATATCTTTTAAAATGTGGAGTGATAACGTTTTATTAGGTGTTTTCTTATTTTTCAACATCATCAGTTAGAATATATTTGCTTATTAATCATTTATACTCTCACTTGAATCCAAGAAGGATGGAGGAACTTTGTAATAGAATAACATAGGTACAAAACAAAACTATTAAAACAAAATTAGAAAATAAAACATAAAGGAGAAACTAGAAAATTACAAATAGATTCACTTTTCCTGAAGCCTTAAGTTTGTCTGAGACTCCTAGAATTAGAAAATATTTCTTGAAGACAGCTCACATTGTACCTTTTCCTTTTTATCTTACACTGTTTAATAAACTACTTAGCAAACATGACAATTTTAACCACGATTTTTGATCAAATATTCCACTGAATATGCACAGGTTACACACAAATGTTTACCAAACACTGAAAGCTCCAAAACAACATGAAACGCTTATCGAATGGTTAGTCTTCTGACTTGTCCAGACATCTAGAGTCTCCTTCCTCATTTAGACTTTAACAGCTTTTAGATCATGATTCTATCACTACACTTACCATGTTGTATAATTATTTATCGCTTTACTTGTCTGTTTCTTAAAGACATCATAGCCCAGGGGAAGAGTGGAGACCTCAACTTAGACATCTTGGTATCTTACGGACCTTCCACAGAGTCTCATTCATTGGAGACCTGAGAATTCAGCTTGTAGTGTTCCATTCCACCCAAAATCTTGCCATTACTCTGGGTAATTCATCTAATTTTTTTTCCTCTCTGTTTCTTGACCTCATCTCTAATGACCTATTCCATTGCAACTCAGCTGCCCACTCCCATGGCCACACCCTGGACTTTGTAAACCACTCAAAACTTTCTTTGGAAATAATTAATTTATACATTTTAATGACTCACCACACTTCCCATTCTTCCAATTTTTCCATCTGATTTCAGCTGATATATCAGCTCTTTGAAGTCATCTGTTTCCTTAAGCATCCTACTTTTTCCCAGTGGACTACCCTCCCCATCTTCCCCTTTTTCCTTATCCAGCTTAGATTTCTTAGTATATTGTTTCAACCTCTTTACTGCTAATACATAAAATCATTCTTTTTTTAATAACTTTGAGGTCAGATGTCCTTCAGAATTCAATTTTTTTCTGGTTTTAGAACAGTTACACAGTACATAATCAATATATCACATCCCCATTGAAATTTAAGGCAGCAGTTCATAATCATACAAATTAATTTCAAAAGCAAAATATATGAATATATACATTAAATTTGATAAATAAAGGTTATAGCCTCACATCATTCAGAGCAGGTTTTGCCACTGCGTTATGAAAAAATGTTCAGTTTTCAGATCCTCTTGAATTTTATAATTTCAGATAAGCAGGGACCTTTATCTTTTAACCTACTTGCCCCCCTGTACTTCGATAACAATTTTTTAGAATAACACCAGTCTTGGATGAATACCATTGGTTGCCACTTCTACACCTACACCAAGGCTTCTGAGAAGTGTTGGAGAAAATTAACATACCTGGCAGATTGATTCTGGTATACATTCATGATGTCTAACCTCAACAGAGACTTCAATGCCACAAGAAATCTGGTTTCCCCCCTAATTATTATTCTATATCTTCTCCACAGTGACTATTTTAAACTTATATACTGCTTTCTTTTGAGCCCCATCTTCCCTCTCCCCATCAGCAACTGCCAAAAGAGGGAAATAGAAAGCATCAGATTGGAACTCTTTCACCTTTCTCCCACCAAAAAGACAAAATTACCTATTCAAGAATCTACCCTTTCTCCCTTTTCCATTACAATGGAAAATATGTACCCTTTGCCATCCAAATGTTCTGAATCCCATCCATTCCTACTATTTCGAGAAACTTGTTCTATAAATTGCTTCTTTTCTCCTCCTTTTACCTTCAAATCCCCCCTCACTCCTCCTCTCCCCTCCCCTGAATCTTTCCTACACACATTCTAGTAAGTTTACTCTATGTCACCTTCAAATGAATAAAGTCCCACATGACTTCACGTTCGCCTTCTAGCTTTGATTGTTTTTCTCCTTCACAGCCAATTGCCCTCTCGTGTCTCCCTCTGCTAATTTCTCAGTTAAGCTTCTATCCCCTCCTCCTCCATCAAACCCACGCTAGTCAAATTCTTGAGTTCCATGTAACTTCCCAAAGTCACACCAATCTTGTGGCTATTCCAATGGCAACTTATCAGTCCTCACCTTACTGACCTCCTCAGAGCATTAGATACATGCCTGAGAGGCTCTTTTTAGAAAATTCTCTTTCTTTGACATTCATGACATATCCTCCTTGGTTTGGATCCGTCTCTCTGGCTGGTCCTTCTCAGCCATTTCTGAGGGTTCCCTATCATCATCTGCACAATATCAACTCTTCTACACTATTTATATTCTCACTCAACACACTTCCACTAGGTTTTCTAATATGTCCTCTAAGATTTCAAGTATCTTATGTATTCCGACTACTCTCATATCTATATATTTAATCCATACTTCTTTCCTGAGTTCTAGGCAAATATCAAATTGCCTACTAGTATCTATAAATGACTACCTCGCAAGTACTTCAGTCTCTGTGTTCAAAACCAAACTCAAAGTCATAATCATCCTCACGAGCCCCAACTTGTTTCCTCTACCTTCTCTGTTCCAGAGGCTAGAGAACCACTATTCAGTGGCCTACGTGTTAAACCTGGGAATTTCTTCTTCTCCTCATAGGCTCCTCATTTAATCAATAACCAAATCTTGTAGATTCTCCTTCCTAAGTATCTACTCAACCTGTCTACTTCATCCCATCATCATGGCCACTAGCATCATTACTATGCTGGCTTCCTAAATGTTCTTTCCACCCAGCACCAATCTCCTCTCTAGCAACCTTTCTAAAAGAAAGTTGACCAAGCTGTTTCCCAACTGAAAATGCTTCAATGACTACACGTGCGCTTGAGATAAAAATCTAAACTCTTCAACCACCTTATCAGGCCTCACTTGCCTCTCTAGACTCAACCTGAGCTATTAATAACTCCAAACTCTGCTTCAGCTCGGTTTAAAGCGCTGTGCTCTCTCCTACACCTCTGGTTGTCAGCCTCAGTGACGACGGTGGTTTTCTGCACCAGAATCAACCAGAGGGTTTGTAAAATACAGATTCCCGTCCACATCTCAAGAATTTCTGATTTTTCTACATCCTTTGTAGAAAGGAAACTTGTAAAATATAAACACTTTTGGGATCTGATGTAATAGATCTGAGGTGGGGCCCCAGGTGATACCAATGCTGCTGGTCCAGGGACGACACTTTGAGTACCACTGGCCTACATCAACCTTCCTCCGATTTTAACCTCATACTCACTCTTCATCCATCAGTGGAAATGTTATTCTTTCTAGTCTTTCTCCCTAGACCTTCCCAACTCTGGGCAAGGTGTTTCCTACCACAGTTCCCTGCATTTCCCCTGTAACAACACTTACCACACTGTATCATATTTGCTTAATTATCTATTGATACCTCCCCACATAAAGCTATAAACCCTGAGGACAGAGCTTCTAGCTTTCTTGTTCATTGTTGTACAGCATCCAACTGTCAGACAGATTAGATTCTAAATATATATTGGTTGCATTAATACATTAAAGATAATTCCAAAAATGTTTATGCTTTACAAGTTTCCTTTCTGCAAAAAATACACAAAAAACTGTAAATATAAATGAAAAATTCTGTTCTTTCCTTTAGCCCCTGTAATCATTTACTTTCTCTGGGCAAAGAAATTTTTAAACCAAATATCAAGCACATAGTATTTCACAGCATTCCAAGTTCTGAACACCAACTGCCAACAAAGTCAAGCAGTAATATGAGCAGCTTCTTTGCTATTCCCATTTAGAAAAAGTATATAGTTAAGGATGACAAAGTAAAAAAAAATAAAAATTGTCTTTTTAAGCCACAATAGGCTAAGATGAATAAAACTGATGGATTTTTTCTAACGGTATTCCACATGATGAGTCAGCAAATGGTACATGACCGAGTCCTATGCCATCTCTTATCCCTCAAAAATTGAGTAGTGATACCATAAAAACCATATCATATTTAATAACATAACTTACATGATTTTTTGGAACCTCGGGGTTTTTTTTCAGGGGTGTCTTTTTTTTGGTTTTTTTTTTTTTGGTGAGGAAGATTGGCCATGAGCTAACATCTTATTGTCAATCTTCCTCTTTTTTGCTTGAGGAAGAT